ATATAAAAATATACTTGCTATAATAAAATATATTTAAATAATAAACATATATGTATTTTGAGGGCCAAACAGGAAATAATTATATGAAGTAATTAAAATAATAATATGGAATTTGATTATATATTTTTAGATCCTAAATATAAAAGTAGAATTGTAAATCTGTAAATGTATATGTGAAAATAATTATATATACGTACAATGTATGTATGTAATACATATGTATGTATATCTATAAATGTAAATCTGAACATTTCTACTTAAAGTCTCTCTCTTTAGAGAGAGATACAAGAAAAATAATTAAAAGAAATCTGAATATATATTTATAAAAATGTTTCAGTGCTTCTAGTTGTATTAACTGTAATTAATGTAAATTTATCTGTTCAAGTTTAATGCCCGCACCCGAATTCACCTTTGCTCATTTCCGCCCACATATATTTTAGCATATTTTTTGGATAATTTCCATAAAATTTAATTTAATACTCAACACACAGAGCCTCCAGACAATTTAATTAGAAAAGATCACAAACTTATGGCAACAATTGCTGAAGAATGATTGGTAATTTACAATTTTAAGGCGGGGCTTAGTGAAGCATCGATTGAGATCCTGCATTGCTTTCGTCAGGTAAATACTCTGGTCATTTCTAGTCATTTATTAAGAAAATTCAACGTAGTTAGCTACATTTTGTTAGTAACAGGTAGCTTGATTTTTGTTTTAGCCACGTTACTGCTTCCATCAGTTTCAGTGTGGCTTCCCAACACTGTCATGAGCACATGCACACAGTGACACAAAACTACACACAAACACACTGAGCAACCAAACACAGTTAAAAGATACAGAGACATGCGACGTATGCTAGTGTGCCAATGCAAACAGAAACAAAAGCAGATAGAAAATCTACAGACATAAAAGAAATAAGCAGAGAGGCGTGCAGGATGCCACGAACCGTGTCTTTAGAGTGTCCCATTATGAAGAAATAGGGTGAGGCTAGAGTGTCGCTTTTCATGCACATGGTAAGGTTGGTAGGTACCATTCCTACAGGACAGGAAGTAAAAGACTGAACTATTGCATTGCAGATTAGAGTTAGAAAAAACAGAGCAGCTGATAGAGGAGAGGAGTTAAGAGAACACTAGTTACAGGCTACTAGACGTCGTTTGGTCACTAATTGAGAGTTCACTGAAAGGTTTAATTGATATAGTGAGTCATCAAAGGCTTTTAAGCTTTTAACAGAAAGCTTTCAGTGCAAACAAACCGTCAAGACCACCATATCCCGGTTGAGCTATTGTTCCCCGGTGCACTCCAATAAGCACATTTATGAGCATTTGCTCCCTTACTTCAACCCAAATCAGCAGGTTTTTAGTTTAAAAACATGATGATCAATTCCATGTTCATCTGAAAAGTTGCTAATGGCTGCAAAAACCTAAATTTCTTTTAAACTGAACAACTTTTAAAAGATTCAAATGGTGTTTTTTGGCTTTGTGTGTTGCGGTACCCACCATATTCTGGCACCTGTCCCGTGCCCCTTTTCAACAGCAGACGTACTCGACGACCGCCAGCCTTGATGAGCTCAATGGCACGAGTGTGACTCATGTCTCTCGTACTCTCACCGTTAATTTCAATAATCTGATCTCCAACCTGCGAACATGAGGAATTAGGGGAATATTTTACATCAGGATGTCGTATCACCTTGAAGGCTTTCTATTTTATGATAATTGACCAATTAGAGTCAAGTAATAAATACAAATCAAACGTTTGCTCACCATGGCTGCATTTATTTGATCAAAAATACAGAAAAAAAACTGTAATATTGTGAAATATTATCATAATTCTAAGTAACTCTTTTCTGCTGTAATATATTTTAAAATGCAATTTATTACTGTGATGCAAAGCTGAATTTCCATCATCATTACTTCGGTCTTCAGTGTCACATGATCCTTCAGAAATTCTAATATGCTTCATTTTGAAAACAGTTGTGTTGCTTAATATTTCAGGATTCTTTAATGAAAAAAAAGAACAGCCTTTATTTGAAACAGATTTGTAACATTATGTCTCTTTTTTGTTGTTTAACATGAATGACAGACAACAGGAATATTAGACTGCTGTCACTTTAAGAGCTGCCCGGATTCAATATACTGTTACACATGTGTTTTCTTTCTCCGCTGTTTGCTTTCACTTAAGACCTAAATTACAAGGATACTTGCTGAGACAGCATTTTTCCACAGAATACACAAGTGTGTGTATTTAACCATTCAAGGCCTATAAAGCAGGAAAAATAACTCCCGCGCTCTTTGAGCACCGTCTTTACGACGAACACGCCTCTAACAGCGCTCAGAAACAGTCTCTCAGACAGCGTGCAGATATAGCAAAATGAGTTCTCTTTTGCTGCTGATTGCATTTGAGTGGCTTAAGATCATTTGTTTTTAAATGGCAATGCTTAAAAACGTGTGCAAACGTTAAGTTTTTGTGACCACATAGCACAACAATGTCACGTGAGCATGTAACCACTATAGAGACGATAGTCAAAAATCTCTATCGGCTGACACATTTGTACCAGTTAATCGTGTCTACCGGTATATTGCCCACCCCTATACTGACCCCAAACTTTTGAATCGTTGTACTGTATATGCTGCAAATCAAATGTACTTTCACATAAAAAAAATTGCATTTTTCACAGGGTGAGACTTTCAAAATAGATTTGAACAGTTTGAGTGTGAGACTCTCATTTGTAAAAGTGCAATTCTAAAAAGGCTTTTCCATCTAACAGTCTGATGTTTTCTCACCCTCATTCTGCCGTTGCGGATCGCAGGTCCATCCTCAGCCAGTCTCAGCACAAACAGGTCCATCTTATATTCCCGTCCTCCGCGGATACTAAAGCCAAATCCCTTCACACTTTTCTCCAGATCCACAGTGAAATAGTCATAGTCCTGGAAAAAGAAATAAAAATTAAAATAAATAAAAACATTGAAGTGTGGCACGCCGCTTTTCAAGACAACCCCCACATTTGACTTTTATTTAGCTTTTATCTTCAATTTAAATGTACTATTAATATTTAATATTCATTTATATTCATGTACTTAACACCAAATATCACAAGAAAATGTATGCATTTTAATATGTTATTTATTTATTTTTTAATTCAAAATACAAATACAAGGACAAATACAAATGCTCTATATTTTATATACAAAAACAAATTGTGCTATAACAGGTGATTTCATTGCACAGGAAAAACATGGCACTTCTAATGGTGATTTTATTGATTTTCCAGCTGCATTATTATACTGTAATTGTTTCATATTCTGGATGTCAAGTAATATTTTTGTGTAATAAAATGTGAAGTTAGACCTGTGGTCTGTAATCGGCGATGGAGTGCTGTCTGTAGTCTATGAGAGCAGGTGGGTGTCTGTACTCAATGGTGGGTGGCTGTCTGTAGTCTGCTACAGGAGGATGTCTGTAGTCCACCGGAGGCTGTCTGTAGTCTGTATATGCAGCTTGGCAGATATCTGGTTTAACATCCTGCCTGGCTTTTACCTCCGACCTGTAGGCATCAACAAGGTCAAATCAAGCAATCCTGTCTCACAAGTCAACAGGCTGATTAACTTCATCTACACATTTCCCACAAAATTCAAGTTTAAACTCTCTGTGAATGTTGGTTTAAATACTATTACGTCTAATGCACAATAAAAACAACACATGCTGTTTGCTTAATGTCTAACAGTGACCTTTTATTCCCCTCTCTGACCATGTGACCAGGGCTTTGCTCATTGGCCATATTTATCAAGTGTCAGTTCCCATCTTTCACGATGCATAAATCAGAGCAGTCTTGAGCCAACCCTGGGAAAAAAATGTGCAAACCCTGCCTGAGAGGAGAAGCATGTATTATTGAGGAGGTAAATAATTGATCATGAAGTGTTAAGTGATGTTACTCGGGCTAGTGTGAGAGAAAGACAGCAGACGCTCGAAGCATGATGTGAGACTGCCCAAGGCAGTTTGGTGGAGCCCAAATTTCAAGTCAAAAGGAAAAATCTAAAATTATATATTTCAATTTATTTTAGTATTTTTAATTTAAAATAATTTTAATTAATTCAAATACTTAATTTATATTATACATTTCACATAAAACTTGTTTTTTTTGTATCAGTGGAAAAGCATTGTAAATGTAAAGAAAACATTAATGACAATTAAGCAAGATTTCTCAAAAAAAGAAAAAGTCATTACCATAATGAAAAACAAAATTCGATATTATTTGATTTGTAAACTACATATACCTCATGACAGTATGCTTACTTTATTTTTTTAATAAATGTATTGCAGTAATTTTTATTGTAATACATGATAATTTTTTTAAGTAGAGCTAAATATTTTCAAAATGACAAAAAAACTAAATACAGTAATGATTATTTTGGTGTGCTTAATGGTGATAAAAAAAAGAATGCTACAATCCATAAAACGCAATATGAATATAAAGTGCTTAATTGTAATAAAAATAATGTCATGCAAAAATGACAATGAACAATAGAACGATAGATAGAACAATGATAGATAGATTGACAGATAACAGAACGACAGAACGATAGATAGATAGATAGATAGATAGAATGATAGATAAATAGATAGAACGATAGATAGATAGAACGATAGATAGAATGATAGATAGAACGATAGAACGATAGATAGATAGATAGATAGATAGATAGAACGATAGATAGAACGATAGATAAATAGATAGATAGATCGATAGATAGATAGATAGATAGAATGATAGATAGAATGATAGATAGATAGATAGATAGAACGATAGATAGAACAACAGATAGATAGATAGATAGATAGAATGATAGAATGAACAATAGAACGAACGATAGATAGATAGATAGAATGATAGAACAATAGATAGATAGAACGATAGAACAATAGATAGATAGAACGAACGATAGATAGAACGATAGAACAATAGATAGATAGAGAACGAACGAGAGATAGAACGATAGATAGAACGATAGATAGAACGATAGAACGAACGATAGATAGAACAATAGATAGATAGATAGATAGAGAACGAACGAACGATAGATAGATAGAACAATAGATAGATAGAACGATAGAACAATAGAATGATAGAACAATAGATAGATAGATAGAACGATAGATAGATAGATAGATAGATAGATAGATAGATAGATAGAGAACGAACAAACTTGGATAGATAGATAGATAGATAGATAGATAGATAGATAGATAGATAGATAGATTGATTGATTGATTTCCGGGCAAACAGTACCTGGTGTCATGAAGGTACAGCTGTGGTGGGACTGGCACTGATCCGATGGAGGTGGGCTGAACTCCCGGTATGCCCGGATCCACAACAGGAGCAGTCTGAGTCACACGGGCTGGGGTGGGGGGCTGGTGGGCTGGGATGAGCCATGGTCGGGCTCTGCTGGGCTGCTGGGCTGGACTGAGTCTGAGGGCTGTGCTTCTGGGTCACCATGGGACTCTGCTTCTCTGATGTAGGGGCCGAATGAGCACCGTTTACGTCTAGGGCAAAAAAACGGTTGTGTTTACAAAGGAAGAAGACAGAAATCTTTCTTTGTTGCAACATATTCTGATCATACCTTCTTCAGGGATGATGTGCAAGGTGACAGTGAGTCCAGCGTCTTTGATCAGCTTGACAATGTCAGCGTGAGGCATGTTGATGATTGACTGACAGTTGACAGCCATAATACGATCACCAACTTTCAGCTTCCCACAGCGATCAGCCGGACTGCCCTCGATGATGCGGCCGATCTTATGTGGCACAGCTACAAAACATATGAATGTAACTAATGTGAGAATTTCATGTCAAATATTCTGGTCATATTGTAGTTTAAAAAAATATATATAATAAGAAATGTAATATGTCCTTCCAATATAAAAGGAACATAATTTTTTTTATAATATTTAAAAAATAATATTTTTTATATTTATAAAAATATAAAGTCTGTTTTAGTACTGTAAATTATTTTTTACATTGTGATATTTTCATCACAACTGAGCATGATTTCCATTTGAATTCTCATTATTGTAATACATTTTACTTTTGTAATCCCCCCAATAATTACTACAAATATAATATAATAATAAAAATAATAACAATAAATTAATATAAGGTAAACATTTTTTATTAACATTGTTATTATACATTTATTTGATGTTAATAATTTATTTACATTACTATTATAAATATTCTCAATAGTAATCTTAATGGTACTAAAATAGGCTGCATTTGTTATAATACATATTTTATTATTTTATATTTATACTTATAATTTATATAAATTACTATTATAAATATTCTCAATAGTAATATTAATGGTATTAAAATAGGCTTCATTTTTGTTGTAATAAAGACAAAAACATTTATCATTAATGTAACCATAATAAAAAAATATATATATATATGTATAATGTATATGCTATTAAAATATTCTCAATTATTAATCTCAGTGGTACTAAAATAGGCTTCATTACTACATAATAATAATAATAATAATAAATACTATAATAATAGTATTTGAAAAATATTTATTTGTAAATTATATAAATTACTATAATAAGTATTCCCAATACTAATCTTTAATGGTACTGCAATAGGTTATATGCACACATAAAAAAAAATGTTTTTGTAAATTTTGGGCTGAGATAGGTGTAAAATAGATTTGTTTGTTTGTTTATTGATATTTATTTATTTTTACAGGTTTTGTGAGATTTACCCAAATGTGGATAAGATAAATCAGCTTCTTTGCTTTAACTGTGTGGACTGTGTTCTTGGACACATAATGGGCTTGATCCCATATTTTGAATACATCTGCACTACAAACTGAACTTTACTCTAAGATAATAAAGAGTCTATCTTAATAAACATGTCACCATGTGTAAAAGAACGCATTAGCGTTCACCAGAGCATCAGATAAACAGCTATGTGAAAGGGGGACTTACTTATTGTGTTCGTGGTCTCTGGACGGTTGAGGGAGCTGATGATGACAAAGCCAAAGCCTTCGCTTTCCTTACGATGGATAACTACATCAGTGGTGGGGGGCAAGTTGACCGGGCACACGGCATGACCCTGGGGAGAACTGCTCTGATTGGCCGCTGCGCCGTTTTCCTCACAAGGGTGGCCTGCAGGTGGCAGCAAACACAATGTCAGTCAATGCAAACACATAACCACAGCAGTGTGACTCCAGAGATGATTGCCACCAATTACTGCGCTTTTACTTCTTGATAATGTAATTCCAGGCATTTGAAATAATAGTCAGAAAAATCTGTTGTTGTTTTTTTATGGAGCATTTTTTTAAACCTTTTTTTATTATTATTTCAAAAAGTCTGCATATGTGTTTCATGTTTTGTATCATATTTAATACATCAGGCTTTAATAGTGGAGGAAAAAACACCTCAGTTTAATTCAGAGGCCCAGATTGAACGAAAATATTGCTGATAATTATATGGCCAAAAGTAAGATGAAATTCTGATCGTTTTTAATGTAAATACATTTTTTTAACAGTATAGACTACATAAAAATGCATATAAATATCTCCCAAAAATGTCTTAGTAGATATTTAAATGTTTAGTTTTGCATATAATGCAATGCTATACGAGATGAGCAAATAAACATTCCTCAAATGTCTGATATATCGTATTTGACACATGATTTTTCTTAAAACAATTGTGGAACAATGATAATCAAGTAAACCTGAATTGCTTAAGTTGAGTAAATGTTCATCTTGAAATATTAATGACATGAAAGTACTTTTTAAAAATCAGTAAATATTTCACAGCAAGAAAACACAAGTACCCAGATCTGAAGGTGGACATTTTTACAATTCCACTAAAAGGCCTTTTACCTGCAACAAAAGTAAATCAGACGAGATTTTATCATATTGATCATTTTCATATGAAATATGATACAGTAGGCTTTATAGGGTTAAAGAAACTAAAAAAACAATTGCTTGTTACTCCTCCTAAATACCGATATTATGGAATGAGCTGTTTTCTAAACCCTGACAGTGCAGTCAGTAAGTGACTAGTTTTGAGGATCAAATTGTTGCTTTAGTTGGTTTGCTGTCACTGGAAGCTTTTTTGAGGAGAGTTTTGCTCACCCTGCTGCGGCAGAACTCTCCTCCTGACGGTCAGGGTGACCTGTCCGCTTCGTGCCGCCGCGTGCATGAGGTCGATGACGTAGCGGTGTGGTCTCCCCGCCACGGGCATCCTGTCAACCGAGACCAGCTCATCTCCCGGACGCAGTCTGCCGTCGCGCTCCGCAGGGCTGTTCTCTATGATTGCTCCGATCACAATCTGTGAAGAAACATCAGTCATCATGTTAATGTGAACCCACATGCACAGTCTCATAATAATATTGTCACCGCTTTTACATGTTCAAACAGCAATATTCTTGACAAGCTGATGGGATTATACATATCTAGCCTGATAGAAAGTTGCTCTCAACTGCTGGTATTCATTAAAAATATTAAATGAAATTACCAAAGACTACTAGCTAAAAGACGACTGTAAATAAACTGTCATTTGAAATCCAAGAAAATCCATGGCAATTCAGTTTGGAGGCTTTTAAAATCCACAACTCTGCACAAAATCTGTAAAATTAAGCAGGTATTTATGGTATCAGATAATATTTGATAGTCTATTTGATATATACAGTAGCATGGTATGGATCAAGGTTAGTGTTATTGTTAACCATAACTATTATGAAGACGAAAATAAGCAGTAAAAAAAAGTTAACTAAAACACAAATAAAAAATGAAGTGCAAAAGAATAAAACAAGGTTCTAAAATCCAAGGAAAAATTATTTTATCTGGAATTGTACATATTTGAATTATTTCTCAAAACTGACTTCAGACTAGCAATGTATTCAGTCAAATAAATCAATAAAAATGAATAAAATGAATAAATATACAACAACAGCAATCCAATAAAAAAGCAGCTGTTTGATTGACATGTAAAACAACCAAACACAGTGTTGTGTGTCTCATTACAGGCAGATGGAACGAAAGGGATGAAAACTACACTGAACTGAAATAAAACTAAAATGTGAAGGAAATCAAAAAAAGAAATAAAGGAAAATTCAATTAAAAAAAAATAAAAAATAAAAAAACAGAATAAACAATTTGGACTGGGCATTATAATAAAAATATCACAGTATAAGTAATTTAAATTTTATTGAAATGTCTCATAATATAGTTCATTTTGCTGTAAATTTACCCCACAAATTTTATATATATATATATATATATATATATATATATGTGTGTGTGTGTGTGTATATATATATATATCATGTAGTATATACATAATCATGTAGTAAAGTGTATACTTTAAAAGTATTTTTTTTTCTTTTGAAGCTTCATGGACACAAATTTATCTCATAAAATAATGTACTCCGACACATCATAAGTCTGACATATTATCAGCAAAAACAGCCTGCACTAATGGGGTCAGTAAGATTTTTTTATTATTATTTATTTATATATGAATAAAAACCATACTTTTTATTATATATAAAAAGTATGGTTTTCACAAAAACATAAGCATAATCTAATTATTTACTGGAGTAATGATGCTGAAAATTCAGCTTTGCATCACAGAAATAAAGTACATTATAAAATGTGTTAAAACATTAAATATTAGTTGTTTTAAATTCTAATAATGTAGGTCAATATTACTTTTCACTGTGTTTTGATCAAATAAATGTAGCTTTGGTAATCATAAGAAACTTATTTCAAAAACATAAAAAATCTTACCGATCACAAACTTTTAAACGGCAGTCACTCATCATCATAAATCCCAGCTCTAATAATCACTACCTACATTTTCAAAACTATAATAACCACTACACTCATATACCATATTACCATGGTACATGCCCAAAACAAAAAAAACATACATGGTTTTGCTATGGTAATGTTGTACAAGTAGCTGAAAAAAAATTATTTTATGAGATAGTAGCTCATGGAGCTGTACAGATATGAACCAGTATCTGTTTATCCTGCCCCATACGAGCCTTGTCACGGGCCTCCGGACTCACAGCCTGCACCGCCTCGTCTCCACCCAGGATCCTAAAGCCAAAGCCAGTCTTCTCACGCAGCAGGTGCACTTCCACTTCCTGATACTCCACACCTGAGGAACAAGATTCACAGTTTAGATCACACACACCAAACTCAAGAGTGATTTAAACCATGCTGCTTCCTTGGTTAGGGATATTTAACCACCCAACAACCACACAGCAACACATTCAAATCCACTCGAAGATCCTATAAAACGTAAGAACTGATCATGTTTGACATGAAAGCAAAGAGCAGAACTTCTTCAAACCGTTCCTAAACCTGAACACAAGCCGAAGGATCAGAGAATGCCACACGTTATTTAGGTCACCTCACAAACTGGAGTGCTGAACCTTCTGATGTAGTGGAGAATGAGAGTATAGTGGTAGACAGAGAGCTAAATATAGAGCACTGAAGTCACATGGGTTACATAAATTAGCTATTGAAATGTGACTAACAGCATATGTGCTCTGTGACATAAAGAAAGGGAAAGCAGCACATTCCTCTACTTGCCTGTAGAGTCTGTCAGTGTCCGAGGAGGGACTGGCTCTGTGTGAATGATAAATGAGAGCTTCAAACAATTAAATTATTTTAAAATACTTTGTACTGTCAACTGGCTTTATGCTTTATTTATGCTCATATGTGGAGGAGTTACAAGAAACCTGTCAAGAATTTTAGAGGCTCATATTTCACCTCAATTTGAAAAGAAATAAATTAAATGAATTTTTATTGGATTGAAGAAAATGAGGCATATTTTTTCTGGTTGAGACATTATTTTCATGAAAATAAAGCACATTTTGCTTTCCAATTGGCATTAATACAATTTGAAAAAATATTATTATTATAACTGTTACAATATATTTATATATTTATTCACTGTTTATTTCGTTATTTCTTTATTTCCATGACTTTTCCATGACCAGTCTAGTTGTTGTTTGTGATTGGATTACTTTTGTAAAAAATAATTTTATTCAGACCATTTCGCTAAAGACTCACTTTTGTGAAACTGTTATGACTCTGTATGGCTTGTGAGCAAATGTAATTTACACTAGAGCACTTTCCAGCTGATGAAATAAAAAAAGTATACTCATTACACAATACTTAATATCAAACCAAGATTTTTTAAATGATTTTTAAGATAAAGATTTAAGATGATTCATTTCACCAGTTTCCGGGACCCTCATTTATCAAGAGTGCGTAGAAAAGGTTCTATATTTTGTCCTACGAATGAAATTTAGAATGCGTGTAAGTACAAAAAAATCTGTATTTATCAAACGCGTGCACGAGGTTCTTACGCACACCAGTAAGTAATCATTAGTTGATAAATCCCACATGTTCTTAAGTACCATGCTCGTTCACGTTCATGGTCATTTGCATTCAGAAACGCCTCCAATGAACCATTTATGGTGACAGCACCTCCCTTTATTATCACGTGAATGTATACGTCCTCACCGAAGTCATGGCAAAGAAAGCGGTACCGACTGAGAAGCCATTCTGCGCTCTCATTAAACAGATCAGCGCGCTCTTTGAAAACACATTCTCTGCGCAGCGCATGGTTTGCCAAATCTTCCAGCAAAGCGAGATCAGCCATGACCATATAGCTACATTTCAAATCGACTTCCCAACTGTCTTTTATAGCTTTCACACTAATAGTGCTAATGTTTAGCTTGAAATCTGAAATTATTAATTGAGTATTTGCAATTAAAGAACACAGGACACATGCGGCGGCACTTTCTTTTTGTAGTATCGCCATTCTACCACTAGATTCATACATCAATGGAAAGCTTATTTATTCAGCTTTCAGATGATATATAAATCTTTTTTGTGCTCCTGGGTCACATATTTCTATAATAAAAATACATATCTGATATGACTTATTATATAATTAGCATCAAACTAACAATATTATTCTTATTCTCAAGGATTAAAGATTAAACGAAAAAAGAAATGAAAAATGATTGCACAACCTAAAATGTCGATATGCACTAAGTATGCAAATGGCCTATGAGCAGAAGAAGAAGAAAGAAGTAGTATGCCTTGCTTTTTCTTAGCGTCCGTTTCCATAGTGACTTGTCGATTCGTCGCACTGCTCGTGTGATATCGCTTATCATAGATATAAATCTGAGACAAAAACTCATACAGGGGCATTTTTTGCCACAATATATTGAATTTTAGGGGCACATAACTGCAGTTATGGACTACACGCAGTTAGTCGTTGCCCTGCTTGAGGTTTGTCAACAGTCAACTGTATGTAATGTAAGATGACACACACACACACACATATACCTTAATATATATATATATATATATATATATTAAGGTATATGTGTGTGTGTGTGTGTCATCTTACATTACATACAGTTGACTGTTGACAAACCTCAAGCAGGGCAACGACTAACTGCGTGTAGTCCATAACTGCAGTTATGTGCCCCTAAAATTCAATATATTGTGGCAAAAAATGCCCCTGTATGAGTTTTTGTCTCAGATTTATATCTATGATAAGCGATATCACACGAGCAGTGCGACGAATCGACAAGTCACTATGGAAACGGACGCTAAGAAAAAGCAAGGCATACTACTTCTTTCTTCTTCTTCTGCTCATAGGCCATTTGCATACTTAGTGCATATCGACATTTTAGGTTGTGCAATCATTTTTCATTTCTTTTTTCGTTTAATCTTTAATCCTTGAGAATAAGAATAATATTGTTAGTTTGATGCTAATTATATAATAAGTCATATCAGATATGTATTTTTATTATAGAAATATGTGACCCAGGAGCACAAAAAAGATTTATATATCATCTGAAAGCTGAATAAATAAGCTTTCCATTGATGTATGGTTTGTTAGGATAGGGCAATATT